TCTGGCCTTCCTTCTTTTTTAGGTGACCTTTCTACATGATTTATATAACAGCCAGGGTCACATACCAGATGTTCACCAGAGAGGACGACTTGTACAGACATCATGTATCATGACTCTCATGGTTGTAAATAGAACCACTGCCTTCACTGAAAAGCCCTGAAGTTGTTCAGTTTCTCTAGACTGGAGGAATTCACATCAAATCTCTTTTTGTTTTTACACTTCATCCATTGAACTACAGAGAAATGTTAAAAATCAGTGGAATTGTCCTTTAGGCTGCCAGTGTAGGTTAAGATGTGTGTAAGGATAAACTGAAGACATAACAATCTGTTGCCACAAAGCAACAGTTGGAGTGTGTCTGCATTTTGGCCAACAGGTTATTAGGAAACATGATCTTTGGAAAGAAACGAACAAGACCTCTTCAGTTTATCCATACTGTTCAACGGTCAGACAGTTAGACATACGTGGCCAACATGAGCCACAGATAAATTAGGCCATGCAAGCAAACCTGTCCTACTCAAAGAACGAAAGGTCTGTGTAAAACAAGACAATCTCTTCTCCTCTTTTCCAGATCCATATATTACAGTACATAATAAAACATGTTTCACAGTGAACATTAAACATAAAGAGCTATATGGCTGGATTCAATTCAGCATTACAACCACTCAAACACTACACTCATGTTGTCAAACAGACTCAGGGCATATCTCAAAAGAAAAGGTCAAAGTCACAACCCCACTCTCTACATGCTCTGCGTGCTCTCTCCTCATCCCTCAAACGCTACCACCCTCAGGCTAATCCACACTCCTCTCCAAGCCAGTCACTGGCAGCCAGGGAAAAACTCACTTTAAAGGCTTTAGGAATTCACCATGATCGCCTAGTGGGGGGCTTTCCAAACATGCCCGAGTCACTTTCTTTCTTCTGCCTTTGTTCCACATTTGATTTTGCAGAGTTCTGATGTCTGGTTTATCCTAGCGGTTGCTTTACACAGGAATTAGACACTACATACACGCTGTGGGACGACTTAAGGCTGATTTACTTTCACTTCTGGTGTTAATTATGTAACATAATTAGCTTGGCTTATTATCTTGGCTTGAACCCTAGTAAGGGAAGAGTGTGTGGCCCAGAATTCAGTTCCTCACTCTCACAACTATGTAACTAATATATTAGTTTCATTGTAGTTACCGAGTAATGCATAATAGTCTGAAGGGCAACTCCACAGATCTTTCAAAATTTCAGCTCAACTAAATCATGAATCACTAATTCTAGAGACAATGAATTAGAACCGTTAACAGTGGTGATAATAGGAACCAAACATCTGAAGCTACTATACATAAAGCTTAGCTATGGATACACCGTCTGATGTCTGAAACATTGCTTTACAACAGTTCTGAGATCAGGTTTTGGCCTAAAACATGACATTTTGAAATCTATTCATGGTGGAGAGATACATGCATTGCATTCTAAGGCAAAATAGTCCCCAAATAAATAGTCCACCTTTTCAGATTTACCACTATATTACATATAACCATTACCATTACATATAAAAACACAGTAGAAGTCAATAGTCAATGTAAATAGTAAATATATATGTGGTTTTAAATATCACATCACTTGGTTTGTATCTTCACCACTGTAACGAAATCTTATAACGAAAGTTATAACGGACGTTTCTCTAAAATGAACCACTTCATATTGAATTACTTATTTGTTTACATCTCAACATCTAAATTTCACAAGAATTGTGAAAAAACACTGTACTTTCCCTTAAATAACTTAACAATAAGCTGACGGTTCACAGGGTTAAACTTGCATGAACATATTCAAACTGTGTACTTGTTAGTAATTAAATGATGAGCTTAATCAGGTATGTTTTAATAGGAAGACTGCTGGAAATCAACTGGAAATTAGTGCATTAAACTGCCAAACTGTGTTGGACTCAGACCCTCCAACTAGAGTCGGGCTGCCCTGCTCTAACTATCAAGAGGAAAAAGTCCAACTATGTTACTGTAAAATACAGAAGAAACAATAATGTTATTGTAAAAAGTAGAAAAAAGGCCACAACTCTGATTAATGCTATACAGCAGGGTGCAAAGGAAACCCCTAAAATGAGCAGGACTCAGGCTCTCCAGGGCCGCAGTTGGACACCTCAGCTGTAAAGTGAGCTATGACTTTATTTATTTTTCTTACAGATGCATTATAATTACAGTACAAGGGTCATGCTTTACTTGGCTAAATTAGAAATTATTTCAATTAGAAATTTCACTATGGTCGACTTTCCCTTATGGCTGGATTCCAGCACATTTTGGCAGTTTTCCTCACCTGAATATGCTCAGTGGTTAATTTACTGTGTTAGAGACTGGAAATTACCAAACCCTGAAGAACTGGTTGGATAACTCCTGCTACAAAGTGCCCTACCGAGCACCTGTCGCACTGCTGTCCTGTCTTTTGCAGCGACTTCTGGATTTCTTATGGCCATAATCACAAAGAGAGTAAAGATGGTATGAAACTACTTTTTCTTTTCTGACACTCACATTGAAACCTTAAGGACTGGCCAATGTCAATCCAGAATTAATTAAAAAAAAAAACCCTGAGTTTTCAAATGAGCTATTTTAATAAATGAAGCACCTCACTTATGACGAGTATCTAAAAGTAGTCTATCATACTGAAACTACTCAATCACTCTACTACCTCACAGGAAGAGCTACACAGACAACCTTACATCACATACTGTGAGTGAGTGCTGTTTCAGGATAGATTTGTTACAGGATTGGATCACATTCATTCTTTTTTCCCTCTGATATTCAATCCAGCACTTTCCACTGATACCAGCCCGATACTGATGTCCAGTATCGGTTACGTTTCATCTCTACTAGAAGGCAAGAGTTAAAGGGGAATGCTGCCGACTTCACAAACTTTCTGCATAATTAAATGGTTAAAATGTAGACAAAGTTCTTCAGAGTGGTTTGATGCCAAATGCTTTGTTCTACATTCTTCATTACTGAGTCAGAATTGTTCACAGCGGTGCTGACAAGAACCAGGCATCTTTGTGGAATGCCATAGAAGATGCCATAAAGAACCTTTCAGTAGATGGTTCTTTAGAGAACTGTTTTGTAAAGGAGATGTGTGAGTGTTAATTTCTTTTTTAAAGTTTAAAGAACCTCCAAATGTACATGTAAAGGTTCTAGCAAGAACCTTTAAATTGGTAAAAAAATGATATTTTGTCAAGGGGTTCTAAAAGCCTTCTTCCCATTCATAAGTCTCTTTCCTCAAACATGGTTCTTTAAGGAACAAAAAGCAGTTCTTCAATGGCATCGCTCAAATGACCCACAGAAAGCAGCTACAAGATCTTAGCCACACTGTTTTCATAGTAGTTTTAAAAAAGGTTTTGGTCTTTGGTACCCAAAACATACTGTTTTCAGTTTTACCACTATTTTACCATTACCAGGATTATATATATTACTATATAAAACTGTGGGAACAAAACTTCATATCTCCAAAATGATAACTTTAAAGGAGAAGGAAAGACCATAATTTTTTTAAATGTAAATCAACGTAACTAGACTTTTTTCCACATAATTTTGGGCCGTTTCTTTTGGTCCATTCGTCATGACATTTACACATAAAGAGCAATAGGCATTTTCAAATTATGTCAAAACATTTAAATGGAGTTTTGCACTTTAAACACTTAAAAAAGATGGTTCTGATGGCTTTGATAATGGTTCTATATATAGCCAGTAAGTGTTCTTCTACTGTCACAATGTCAAGATTATAACAATATAAGGATCCTTCTTGCTGCAGTATAGAACCATATGCAACACATTCTCCATCAACCTGAAGAACCATTTCACCATGCAGAGAACCCTTTCAATGTGAAATGGTTCTATATAGAACTCATGGTTGTAAATAGAATCACTGCCTTCATTGAAGACCCCTTGAAAAATCATCTTTTTTAGTGTGACATCACAATTCATGGTTGCTGTCCCTTCCTCTGTAACGAAATCTGAGTTGTCTAGTTTCCCTAGACTGGAGCATCTGATTTACCTAACAGCCACGGTCACATGCCAGACGTTCACCAGAGGGGACGACTTGTACACACATCATGTACCATGAAATGGTTCTATAGAACTCATGGTTGTAAATAGAACCACTGCCTTCACTGAAAAACCCTTTAAGAATCATCATCATCAAGTGTGACATCACAACCCATGGTTCTTATCCATGACCACTATAATGAAATCTGAGTTGTTCCGTTTCTCTAGACTAGTTTCTCTCTTTTTTTTTGTTTACATCTCATCCATTGAACTACAGAGAAATGTTAAAAATCAGTGGAATTGTCCTTTAGGCTGCCAGTGTAGGTAAAGATGTGTGTAAGGATAAACTGAAGACATAACAATCTGTTGCCACAAAGCAACAGTTGGAGTGTGTCTGCATTTTGGCCAACAGGTTATTAGGAAACATGATCTTTGGAAAGAAACGAACAAGACCTCTTCAGTTTATCCATACTGTTCAATGGTCAGACAGTTAGACATACGTGGCCAACATGAGCCACAGATAAATAAAGCCATTCAAGCAAAGCCTTCTTACTGATTTCCAGATCCAGTTTTTCCACATTTTACAGTACATAATACAATATGTTGCACAGTGACCATTAAACATAAAGAGCTATATGACTAGATTCAGCTCAGCACTACAACCACTCGAGCACTAATACTACACCATATGCTTAAATGGTTCATTGCATGGTAACATCGTTCCTCAGATTGATGGAGAATGTATTGTATATCTAGAACCTTTTTCGAAAATGGTTCTATATAGCACAAATAAGGGTTCTTCTGCTGTGATGTCAAGCCTGAAACAATGAAAGGACCCTTTTTTTCTGGTGCTATACAGAACTATACACACAAGTTCTTACAGTAAGTAATAACCACATAATAATTAGAACAACCATAATATAAGTTTTTATAATTTAACTGATCCCTGCAAAAAACTTCAGAACTCACCGGATCTCGGGTTGTTCTGGAAATACAGAATCAGGATGAAGAAGGAAAAAACGCATGTGGCCAGAAACATCCGACCGACTCTGGGCTTTCTCATCGTGCCTCTCCTGGCCGGAGCTCATGCGAGCAGGCTTCTCGGCTCCGTCCCAAACGCAGACTCTCCAAAGAGGGTTAACGAGGTTAAATTCGGGCTCCGTCCCGGAGGTGAGAAGACATACGTTCCCATTAGTAAAGCAGGCTCAGCTCGACGCCTCGAGAAACCAGCCAAAGCGCCAGCATTGGTGGCACTGGCGGCGGCGTTAAAGTTGATCACTGTCGTCGGGAGTAGCCTTTATTCTACATGCAGCCTCAGCGTCCACATCTGCCTCAGTCAGCGCTGCCTCAAACTTCTGCCGCACGGCTTCACTCACAAACCCCATTGAGGGCTTCTACATGTCGTCCTTCCTCATATATAGCAGCCCTGCGCGGTGGGTGTGAAGCTCTCGTGTGATTTCACTCGAAAACATGGAGGGCTTTGTACCAAAAAGTTTCGGCCGTGGCGTCACGACCACCCATGACGTAATCAGTCGATGGAAAAGCGGCGATCGAAACGCGCATGCGTAGAACGCTCTTCGCGTCAGCCAAAACGAGAAAAAGAAAGTTGCCCACTTATTATACCCTCAGGGTTAAAATAGGATCATAAGCGTGTGATCTCAGTTGCCAGTCACTGATAGCTCCGGGCATGACGTCACGACGCTGGAACTAAAACAGCACTGGCGATGTTCATTTGATTTATATCATAATCAATTCATTTACGGGGAAGGGGAAAAAAGGCTGTGCCACCACTGTGGCATTAGTGACATCTGGTGGCCTTGGCTGCTCACACGATCTCCACTGTGAACCTGCTGTAACAGCAGGTGCAGCATCTCTGCATCTGATGAAATATTAAAAGAGAATTACACTGATATTTCTGCATAATTTGATCACTGAGATGTAAAGTCACTCTAAGTGGTTTGATGTGAGATGCTTTATGTAGAGAGACTTACTGACTCTTCTTTACATTTCTTTACAGTGGTGGTGATAAGAACCAGGGGTCACAACGTCTACAATACTATTTTAGATACTATAAGCTCAATCAATGACCTGAAACCTGGAAATGAACAACAAAAGATCCTCAGAAATTTGGAAATTAAAAAAAAAGTTCAGCAAAATGAAGAAGAAATATATTAATATGTCTATTTACATTTAAGCAAATTTGTAATATTTACCATATGAATTGCTTTATACAAAAAAGGAAAAAAGAATTTCTTTTAGTCTTAACCCTTAGACTTAAGCATGCATGACTCTCAAGAGGGTACAGTTTTTGCACAAACTTGTGGAGCTCAAGTGCACACTGTCATTAACCCCTTACCAAGCCATCACCGAGCTTTATTACACACTTCCATTACCTAAGAAAAGCTCCATTAGTTTGCATTAGGTTGCCTTAGTATGTAATAAGCCTGGAATGTTAAGGGGTTAAAGCAAAGAAGTGGCATTGGCATGCTGTATTAAATACAGAAATGCTGCCAAAATTTCAAAGATTCGACATTTTTACTTAAACTGTTATGCTGAAAATATGATTTATAAAGAAAAAACTTTTGAATGAAATTAGAAACAAATGCAAAATATAAGCATTTTCAGTAGTGTTCTCAGAGTTTTGGACCTCACTGTATGTAATGTTGATAATGGTAAAATAGTAAGTCAGAAAAAATAAGTTTTCATTGAGGACTATTTTGCCCTACAACATAATGCATGTACCTCGTAAACCACCATTGTAAAACAATGTCTCAGACATCAGGCAATGTTTTTGTAACCATTTCAATAATAACAGTAATAACTTTCTGTGATGTAGCTTTTAGAGGCATTAAACTCTTCAAATTTCTGGTCTCTGTCTCCACCACTGTCATTAATTCTGATTCTATAAGAACAGTCCGAATGACATGTTGAATGAATGACATGACTATTTAAGCATGAAATCACTCAAGCATGAAATCATTCCATATAGAACTTATGGTAGAGAGAAATGTTAAAAAATTTAATGTTAAAGAATTGTCCTTTAAGCTGCTAGTGTAGGTTAAGATTTGTGTAAGAAAAAAAATGAATACATAATAATCTGTTGCCACAAAGCAACAGTTGGAGTGTGTCTGCATTTTGGCCAACAGGTTATTAGGAAACAAGATCTTTGGAAAGAAACGAACAAGACCTCTTCAGTTTATCCATACTGTTCAATGGTCAGACAGTTAGACATACGTGGCCAACATGAGCCAAGAGTAAATTAAGCCATTCAAGCAAACCCATCCTACTCAATCAAAGAATAAAGAGTCTGTGTAAAATGAGACAATCGGTTTTCCACTTTTCCAGATCCAGTTTCTCCATATCGCTGTTTTCGGAAGAAAACTTCATATCTCCAAAATGACAAATTTAGAGGAAAACTAAAAAACCTACTTTATTTTTTAATGTAAGTCAATGGAACCAGATTTTTGTCTAATTCATTCTGGGCCATTTCTTTTGGTCCATTCTTCATGAAATTTACAAACAATGTAAAGGACAACAGGCATTTTCAAAATGTCAAAAACTGAAAAGCAAGCAGCCTCAAGAACAAAAAGTGGGTGGGGCATTTCAGGCTAAACTCAGAAAAAAACGTTGTCAGTCGCCTCACTGGATGAAGAAGATACATCTCGGTAAGATAGTTGCGCTAGCAAGCTAGCTAGCTAATGCTAACATTAAAATATTTATTTCAATAATTGATAGATTATTCGACTATCAAAATAGTCATTTGTTGCAGTCCTAAAAGACAATGATTCTACTTAGAACCTTGAACACTCAAATAACCATTTAATGCTTTTTTACACACACACACACACACACACACACACATAAATATATACTTCATACATATACACATACATTTTTAATCATACAGAGATTTTGAAAAATCTGTGGAATTCCTCTTTGTATATGAATGTCTATATATTTGCATATTATAGCCTTTTGCACGTTGTGCAGACAAAATCAGCTGCAGTATTGATAAAATCTCTTCACAGTAAATAGAAACAAGTTGAATAGCAAGTCAAAGAAACCTGGGATTGATTGTGTTTACTTATGCCATGTCAGACTGAGCAGTAGGCATTGTTTACTCAGTGAGAGGGCTGAGGATGGCTGCCTTTGCAGAAAGTGCTCTGTAATGGAGGGGGAAGCGCTCTCTCAGAAGCCGTTTCTCCAGCTGGGACAGGGGGCACTGGACCATTTTAGAACGAGTCAGAGTCAACATGTAGTGCCTGGATAACCAAAGCAGGAGGGTGATAAATTCAGGTCTAAAACAAGGCTCAAGGACAGTCTGTATAAGGATAAACAGAATCATGTTCTACCATGTGTGCACTGACTGTTCTGTAGTTCTGTAGTTCTCCACAGTTCTGATCAAACAGTTAAGGGATCATTAATCTCATAAACTACAGGATTAGCATTCAGTTATTAACCTTTAAGGTGAATTCCACTGACTCCACTGAAATTTCTGCATACTTAAACCAGAAAGTAACTCTTCAAAACTGTTCACAGTGTTGCTGATAGGAACCAGATGTCAAACCTCCTTGGGAGCCACAACATTTTATGTTCATTTTGCCATCTCTGCTGTAAAAAGTAACAGTATGTGCTAATATACTAGTGTAAGCTAACAAATTTAATATAAATGAAAACGCAGACTTACGTTGCTCTGCTTTAAGCTTTAGCTCAGCTATAGCAGCTTTGCTCACATCTCTGGCAGGAAACTTTTCCAAAAGTGGAATACTTATTTGTAAAATGTCTCTTAACGTTTGATTTTTTTATGAGGCTGAAGTTTTAGTGTTTGACAATTTTTCACTGCAGATTAAACACATCAGTAAACCAGCTGGAGTGATTATAAATGCCTCGGCAGCTACTAGCTAGGTGAGATTATTGTCTATGTTGCTATGGTGACCAGCACTCTGTGTGCCAACCTTCAGGGTTAAAGGGTGAATTAGCAGATATAGACTACATTAACTTCAGCGTTTAAGACCATTTATTGTTAAAACTGTGTTAGAACGATCAGCAGAGCTTTATTTTACTGCAAAGGAGGATTATTTTATTTTTACCTAAAGATCTAATTCTGCTGTGGAGCTGCAACAGGACAGTAAAAGAGCCGTATGCAGCTCCAGAGCCGCATGTTGCCGACCCCTGCTCTAAAAGCTACATCACAGAAAGTTATTACATGAAATGGCTATCCCCCATTAAGACTTGTTATTCAGTAACTACTATAAAAATAATTTGTAAATTATTAAAAAGTATTAAAAATATTACCAAGGTTGTTATATGTTTACCTTTACTCACAAATGACTTACTGCATTAACCACACTAACGTATTCCACAAAAATGTTTAACCTATAAGGCTGCTCCATGTCCGTGAGCCAGGCCAGTGGGAGCTCTCTGAAGGAGCTGACCAGAGAGGCTTTGGGGGGTAGAAATGTTAGAGGTCTTAGACTCTGGTTCTCCAGCTTTGAGGGGCCTGTTTGGGGTCTCCTTACAGCATCATGCAAAGCAAAGGCTTCAACATCAAAAGGTGGCATCTCTGAAAGTATGAGAGAACCATAAAAGAAAGGTAAAGAAAAAAGACAGCTCACAAGACTCTGTGTAGAACCTAATATCATTTTAGCATGTTTTAGTACCGAATGCTGGTCTTAACCTTATCATATCCATCTTTCTGGCAGTATTAAAAGAGAGTTTGTTTTTGCCTTTTTTTTAACTTAAATCTGCATCCACAGTTATTGTGGATTTTCACATGGGTCATAGTAAAAGTGATCCGCATGTAGAAATGGAGGTTCCTGTGTGCTTCATTCTTAAAAAAGATGATTTCTTTAGCAAAGAAAATGGTTCTATATAGAACCATGAACACTCAAAGAACGTTTTGCATGATTAAAGATTTCTTTGCTTGGTGAAATCGTTCTTCAGATTGATGGATAATATTCTGTAGATGGTTCTCTATAGAACCTTTTTGAAAATGGTTCTATATAGCCCATAAAAGAGTTCTTCTATTGTTACGATGTCAAGCTTGTAACAACAGAAGAACCATTTTGGGTGCTATATAGAACTCTTTTCAAAAAGGTTCTAAATAGAACTATCTATAGCACATTTATGCACATTTTCCCTCAATCCCAAGAACCCTTTCATGATGCAAAGAACCCTTTAATTATGCAAAGGGTTCTTTGAGTGTTCATGGTTCTATATAGAACCATTTTCTTTGCTAAAACCCTTGAAGAACCATCTTTTTTTTAAGAGTGCACTGTGTTTTCTATTTGTATTGTATTCTGTACTGTAAATGAAGCTCCATGATGTCTTTATTGTTGGTAAGAAATTACACTTTGAATAAGCTATTTCTCTGAGCAGTCTGTTTTTGTTTTTTAAACAAGAAATTCTCGTTACTTTTTCATGTTAATGTTTCGTGCATTAACACTTCTTCTAATGTAGTGTGGTGTTTTCAAAGACAAAAACAATTTGTTTAGGTAAGACTTTTGCACAGGACTGTATGTTTC